TTTTTTTTTTTTTTTTTTTTAATTTGGTACTTTATCATTGAAAAAGATTTTATTTGGAATTGACTTTTTTGGGTTTTGAATTCTTGATTCTTGCAGACTAGATTTCATGGGGTTATATGAGGCAGGGTGTGCAATTATTTTAGAGGATGAAGCTCATTCATTTTTCCCTGATCCAAATCTGATTAATAATCTCAGAGTTAATGATAATTTAGTCAATAGGAATCATGTTGACATTAGTCCATTTCAATCAAATACTTTAGTCCCATCAACTGCAGATGAGGATTATGATTTTAGTGATGTGGTGCTTAAGTATATAAATCAGATGCTAATGGAAGAGGATATTGAAGAAATGTCTTGTATGTTTCAAGAGTCTGCAGCTCTTCGAGCTGCAGAACAATCGTTTTACGAAGTCATTGGGGAGGAGTACCCTTCTCCCCCGATTGTTGAGAAACCGTCCAATTTAGGTCAGAATGGACATTATACTAGGGAAACTAGCCACTTTTACTATAGTGGAAATGATGGTTGTGATGGCATACCATGCCCGAATTGGAATCTTGATCTCGGTGGGGATGACGTGCCATACGTGTCACATTTTCCTGATGGTGTTGCTTTGCGTTCAACTTCTTGGTCGCCTCACAGTTCGTCAAGTACTGTCACGGATGTGCCTGTGGATTCTCCTGTGAACACACTTAGGATTCCTGATATATTTAGTGATAGAGAGTCTATTATGCAGTTTAAGAAAGGGGTGGAGGAGGCAAGTAAGTTCATTCCTCGGGGCAATAGTTTGTTTGCTGATGTGAGGTATAATGCCATGGGAAACGAGCAAAATGAAGAGAGAAAAGATGCAGTAGTAAAAGTTGCGAAATATGGAGAAAAGCAATCTCCTGAAAGGTCAAGAGGGAAGAAAAACACTCTTCAAGAAGATGTAGTAGATTCAATGGAAGAAAGAAATAACAAGCAGTCTGCAGTGTTTTATGAATCAACTGTACGATCAGAAATGTTCGATAGGGTGCTGCTATGCAATGCAGGAAAAGATGAATCTGCTCTTCGCGAGACCTGGCAGACTATATCAAGGCGAAATGCGTTAGAGAACGGCGTTTCAAAGGGATCTAATGGTAAGAAGTCGCAAGGAAAGAAACAAGGGGGTAAAAGAAATGTAGTGGACTTGAGTAAGAATTCACAAGCAAAGAAACAAGGGGGTAAAAGAGATGTAGTAGACTTGAGAACACTCTTGACACTTTGTGCACAAGCTGTTGCTGCGGAAAATCGAAGGACAGCAAATGAGCTTCTGAAGGAGATCAGGCAAGGTTCTTCTCCAATGGGGGATGGGATGCAGAGGTTAGCCCATTATTTTGCTAATGGTCTTGAGGCACGGATGGCGGGTTCTGGTACTCATATTTATAAAGCCCTTATTACACGGCCTGTATCAGCGGCTGATGTCTTGAAAGGTTACCAGTTACTGCTTGCTGCCTGCCCGTTCAGGAAGATCTCTAACTTTTTCTCAAATAAGGCAATTATGAATCTAGCTGAAAATGATTCAACTGTACATATTATAGATATTGGTATTATGTGGGGTTTCCAATGGCCTGCCCTCATACAACGTCTCTCTTCTAGACCGGGTGGACCTCCCAAGCTTCGTATAACTGGGATTGATTTTCCACATCCTGGTTTTCGACCAGCAGTGAGGGTTGAGGAAACGGGGAGACGGTTAACTAACTATGCTGAGCGTTTCAATGTTCCTTTTGAGTTCAATGCTATAGCGCAGAAGTGGGAAACAATTAAACTTGAGGATCTGAAGATCAATAAGGGTGAGGTTCTTGTGGTGAACTGTCTGTACCGTTTTAGGAATCTACTTGATGAGACTGTGGATGTAAATAGTCCAAGAGATGTTGTTCTAAATCTTATCAGGAAGTTGAATCCAGATGTTTTCATACTGGGGATTGTAAATGGCGCTTATAATGCCCCATTCTTTATCACACGATTCCGCGAGGCTCTTTTCCATTACTCATCCTTGTTTGATATGCTTGAAGCTAATATTCCCCGGGAAGTACACGAGAGAATGCTGATTGAAAAGAATATACTTGGTCGGGAGGCAATGAATGTCATCGCGTGCGAAACAGCTGAGAGAATTGAACGGCCAGAAACATACAAACAGTGGCAAGTCCGAATTATGAAAGCTGGTTTTCGACAGCTGCCTTTGGATGAGGAGATCATGAGAATGGCAACAGAACGATTCAAGGTATATGACAAGAATTTCGTGATCGATGTAGATAGTGAATGGCTACTGCACGGATGGAAGGGTCGTATCGGATATGCACTTTCCACATGGAAGGCAGCTTGTTAAATGAGCTGATGAATGGTATTCACTTTTCCAAGTGCTAGTTATTCATTTATCTAACCACCTTTTTCTAATGCCCTGCAAACAAATTTTGTCACCTTTCTAGTGTTAACAAGTACAACTGTGAAGGCTATGTTCATAACACTGTTTCGCCTATGGGGAGCGGATTGCGTTCCTTCCCTAATGCAATGAGCTGTGGTAATCGCAACAGGAGAGAGGAATGGCAACACAATGTTGGAGCAGCATCTGTGTCTGGTAAAACTCATTTCGCCTGGGTATGACATTAACAGTATTGAGCAAATAGGCAATAATAGTAGGTAGCAGTGTGTGTATTGGCTTCTTTTCATTTGTATTTTACATCAACCATGTTAGTTACATCAACCATGTTAGTTATATGTAGCATATACAATGATTTGTGAAGGTGTTATAGGTGTCTTCTCTACTAATAAAGGCGAGTTCTAGCATGATTTTTGTCCATTTGGGTTCTTCTCCTCACAAGTTCAGTGCAGGGGAAACAGATCCAATTTTCTCCCTAGCCTTTCTTCTAAAAGATGGCGCAACCTATATAAAAGAATTCTTGATTAATATGCTTCTATAACTTAAACACTTTGGGTTCGTTTGGTACTATGGATAAACAAAAATAATCATGGGATAAAAATTTAGTACTGCCTTATCCATTGTTTGGTTACTAATTCTGGGATAAGTTGTCTCGGAATTAAAAATAGTACCGGAATAACTTATATCTGCCAGAGGATGAAATAATAATCACAGGATAAGTTATCTCAAAATAAAATAATAAAATTGACAATCTTAGGATTAATACAACATATCAAACAGTCAATAAAAATAATACAGCATAATTAATAATTTGTCTTCAAACCAAACGACGCCTGAGATATCCAATGGGATTAGTTATCCCACTTCTATATGAGATAACTAATCGCATCATTTTAGCATAAAACTTATTCCCGAATTAACTAATACCCCAAACCAAACATAGAATAAAGTTAATCCCAAACTTTATTCCGGGATTATTATCCTAATTCCATATACCAAACGACCCCTAAACATCATCTTTGGCCAATATTAACATTGTTCTTTATCTATCTTCTGCTACTTGGCCAATATTGACATTATGCTCAATGTTTTCTTCTTTTCACATTGGAGACAATAAGTTTAACATTTTTGTTATGAAGAAGAATCAAAAGATTATATTATTTCATCACATTGCAAAATCCCATATACAAAAGAACAAAGAATCAATACAATAATATTTCATCATCCAACCAATTTGAACAACATATGCCTCTCCCAATTTTAAAAAAGAAAATCCAAAACCTCAACTTCTTAATGCCTTAATACAGCAAACAAAGACACGAGCAAAGAAGTTCCAATCAAAACACCAGAAACCGGCAAAGAGAAACCCGCCCCGGCATCAGGCGACGGAGCTGGTGCAAGACTAGGCTCCTGAGCCGAGACAGTAACAACAACGAGAAAGACGAAAAGCAAGAAAGCTTTGATGATGCTAACAGAAGCCATTTTGATGAAGAAATGAAAGAGATTTAAATTTATAATGATTTTGAAAATTGAATGGAGAAAAGAGAGATTTATTCACAAAATGATGGTGAAAATAAAGAGTGGAAAAGGGAGTATTTATAGTAGTAAGGCAACAAAATTGACAGCTATTAGATGGATGGATTTGTTGAAAAAACAGCTCAGATTTTGGAGATGACAGGCTATAGATTATTAGTAGGCTGAACTGGCCATGTTATTAGCCAGTAGAGAGACGTTGTCAGAGATTCCCACTCGTTGATTATATAATTAAGATACTATTTGAAAAGGTAATACATCATCATAATTGCTAACATTAATATAATTTTAAAATCCTTTACATTTTAGATTGATTTCAAATGTTACTTTAATAGATTCTCCTTCATCATACCTAATATGTTAAGTGAATTAAATTAGCTAAATTAAATTAACGTCTGAAATTTGTTGTTGAGTCAAATAATGTTTGATAAAATTAATGAAGATAGTAAATGGGAAAAAGGCAAAAGAGAAAGATGGACCAAAAGTCTCATTGGCCCTTTAAGCCACGAACGGGGAGCAAGTGCACATATTTTGACCTAAAAAATTAGTCAAAATATTTATAAATTAGTCAGTATTTATTTTATCATGAAATTTTAAACTAAAAATATTAACTTCAGAATAATTTATGGCATTTTGACCTAAAAAATTAAACTAAAAAACTAAAATACATGACGCATTGACTAATTTCTAAATAATATATTTTTAAAGTGGCTACGTAGTATCATTTCTACCCGAACTGCACGTGGATGGGTCTATAGACTTTTAGAGACCGTAAATCATTAGAATCCAAAAGATGTTCCTGTAGTGACAACCCCTTGATGAAGCTATCTCTATGAGAAATATAGTACCTCGTTTCGTGAATCCATTTGACTATATATGAAATTTAAGAAAAGAGAAGGCTTTTAAATTTGTGGTGTAAAATAAGGCACATATATTTTGTGTGGCTATAAATTATTACATAAAGGTAAATTGTTTCCAAATAAGGAAAGAAATCATTCTTTTTGGCACGGACTAAAAAGAAAATATGTTCACATAAATTAAAATGGAGAGAGTATATGTTTAGCCATTCTAAAAAAATATATATATATATATATATATATATACTTTTGGGTTAGTAAATATCAATTTTGTATTTTGCTCTATTTCAACGCGTGTACCCATTTCTTGCCACGTAGCTCTCTCAGTATGGGCCATAACCCAATTACTTATTTGGCCCACAGAAGGCATAAGCATCGAATAAAGCCCATTATTCTCATTTTATGTTCACATTTCACTAGGAGAGAAAAATACAACATGAATAAAAATTACAAACTCGAGTGGTCTAGATTCATACCCACAATTTCTCAGCATTTTCGCGGGAATCTAACCTTTAAGCCAACGAATCAAAAATAGCCACGTGTCGAAAGTCGCTACATTTTATGCCACGTAAGATAATCATAATAAAACTTCCATCACACGATTGGATATATAAGTCAGAAAAGCAGCTTCCGGAACAAGCCTTTTCCCTTTGACAGCCCACACAAACGCTCCCCTTTTCCCTCCAATAGAAAGTAGTCCAACCATACTACTATAAAAACACACACACACTGCTACATAAAACATTTTTACTCATACAATCTATTCGTTTATCAGATTACAGATACTGCTATATAAGGAAAGAATTGTATTGTAATCTCTAGGTCGTAGCACGTCCTGTCGTTAACTCTTTTGCTTTCACTATCACAAGTCTGTTTATAATCACAACTCTTATTATAGTCAACAGGGTTGAAATATTCAAGAAAAACTTCGACCGACAACTATATTTACGTCATTGTTGAAATGAAGGAGAGGGTGAAGAGTGATTACGAGGTGGTAGAAGAAGGATGCAAGACTCCAAAGCGTGACACGTGTAGGATAATGGTGAATTCTTTGTGCCCGCCGCCGCCGCCGAAAAAGAAACGAGTTTACGTGAAACAGCAGAGTCATCAGCCTAAGGAAGGTTATTTTCAGCCACCTGATCTTGAGCTTTTCTTTGCAACAATTGTAACAAGGAGAAAGACTTGTGTTTAAATATATTGGTTCTTTAATCAGAAAGAAAAAAACAAAAGGAAACGGCTCGTTTTGGTAAACTTTTTTTGTGTATTGCAACAATGTGAAAGTATATAGAATAGTATGTTTGCTCTGTTATTTAATGTATACCAGATTTTGTACAATGTAGAATTGGTTTTAAATTTCGAGCATTCTTCTTATGCGTGTTTATATCTATTGGGAAAGCTTTATTTTTTTTATTTTATTTTTGTCTGGCGATTAAACACAACTAGAACTGATCTGGTTTGTGCAATTATCATTGATTCTAAACTGAAAAAATAGGGATCTTTGGGTTAATTCTTCAAAAATATTTAAAATGATAAATAACTAATCCAAAAGGGGCGAGGTTGAGTCTGAACAAATCCAGTAGGAATCTTTACACAAATAACCAAGCTCCTCTGTTTATTTTTCTTAGTCAACATATATAGGTTATATACGTATAGTACACAATTATACACATATTATATATGAATTATACATACAGTCATACTTCTCTATAACATCATCCTTATATAACAACCATTCACTCTAAAAGTCAAGTTTTTCTCGAAACAGATTTGTATATTATGTTATATATTCCTCTATAACAACACTTCACTATAGCGGCCAAACAATATCGTAACAAATGATATTGTTATAAAGAGGTTTGACTGTATATTATGAATCTACTAGCTATTTTAATTTAAGGGTTGGAAGGACGTTATTTAGGTTAATTTTTCAATCCAATATGCTTGGATTGAAGTGGCCACACCAGAATTTTTGGCATTCTTGTTATCATAAAGCCCATTTGAACCAGTTTGTAGCCTGCTCATTATGTGAATTAGTTTGTAGCTAGTTTAAGCTAAAGGAGGATAAATACTTACCATCATCGAGTGTTTATACTAATCATATTAATTTATATAATTAAGTAACTTAATAAGGGGAGAACGTATATTAATTAACCATGAGTTAGTGTAAACACCGGGAGCGCATCCTACAAAAATTCTTGATTCCCGGGTAAACTAGTTTGTAGCCTTCTCACGTACCCAAGAATGAAGAATTTAGATAGGGTGTGCTATACTCCTTTAGTAGACTTTTCGAGACGAATTTGAATTAATCGACTCAGTAAATTTTATAACTAAATAGTTAAATAATAAAATAATCTTAAGGAATCCAAAGTCTCCTTAAGGTTTCTAAGTTCGCTCTCGGAGAGAAATGAATTTTAGGATTGCTTGTTTGCATTTCTTTTGTATGTAAAAGAATATCATATTCTGTATATTGTCATGTGGTGTATGTGTATAGGGTAAACTATGATATGAGACGTGGCTGATTAAAATGAGGGCACGTGAAACCCAAGATGGGATGGTTGAGGACCAAACGCAGCCACTGTGCTTGTCAACGGAACGGATAACGTTCATAAAAGTGTATTGAATGCTCTGCGCCCGGTAGCATTTACTAAGGAATATTCTACAACATTAAGAGCGACGATACGTTATAGAGAATTTGACAATTATACTCAACGTTACATCTTCATCAATGACCCCCATAATTGGCATTAAAGGAGGGCATGATCCTAGAACCCTTTTCCCTAAGTTTAGCTATAATAGTGAGCTCAGTTACCATTGTAAAGGGCACGAATTTTCTGGCAAGAACATATACTATATTCTATACAAAGTTTTATACAATTTCACTTTCTTGCTTTTAGATCTCATCGTTGCTGTGTTCCGAAACTGTGTTCATGAAATTATCATCTTTGCTATTTCATCTACATTCTAAGGCTAACTATTGTGTATTTCTTCAATTATTATATTATTTCAGGATCAAAATAGTTCACTTGTCTAGAAACCACGTATAAATTCAACTGTACCATTTTACGAGTAATCAGTTTGGCGCCCACCGTGGGGCCTAGACAGTCATGCAATTAAATTGATCCTTGCCATTTTTACTAACGTTTTTTTGACTATTTTTTCTTAGAAATAATCGCAAAAAATGGCAGATAACAGTGTTAACGATGCACACATCCCTGAAATTCGAAGGTATCAGCCTCATTTCGAAGACTCGATCAGTGATACCGGCAATGAGGGAAAATACGCCACATCAGTGCATGATCGATGGTACCCTCGATAGGTTCGGGAGGCACCCCCGATGATGCTGATGAGGAACAAGTAGTGGATGTTGTAAGGATCATGCAAGAGCAACAAACAGTCATTCCAGGCCATCTCACATGACAAGATCGGGTTATGATGGAACTAAAGCATGCGCTATCAGGTGCTTCGAATAATGCAAACAGGCGCGACCCGGTACCTCCCGTTGTTCCCGCATACCAAAAAAAAAAGTAAAGAGTAGACAACAACACTCCTAGAGGTGAAGTTGGCTCCGATGGGGCTGGGGGAGCAGATCAGGTCTTAATAACGAGACCGATTCATTCAAAGATGAGCTTTTACGGTTCATGAGCGAAGTAAACGCCCGCATGGATCAAATTTTGGGCGCACCACCAGTATTGAAAGGCCCGAACTCGAAAAAGTATGTTCAATTACCGTATAACCAAGTACAACACTCGAACACTCGAAAAAGTATGTTCAATTACCGTATAAGCCAAAGTATGATGGAACTTCAGACTCATAGAAACATATTACCACTTACACAACAGCGGTGAAAGGAAATGATCTAGCTCCTCACAAAATTGAATCTGTGTTGCTAAAGAAATTCGGCGAAACTCTCACGAGGGGAGCCCTAACGTGGTATTCTTTACTACCCGAGCATTCCATAGATTACTTTGAGATGCTCGCGGATTCTTGCAAGACCGAAAGGCCGACATATTCAGAATCGCACAAGGAGAA